TCCTGCTGGGACTCTGAGGAGCACAGGGACTGGTCTCCTGCTGGGACTCTGAGGAGCACAGGGACTGGACTCCTGCTAGGACTCTGAGGAGCACAGGGACTGGCCTCCTGCTGGGACTCTGGAGCACAGGGACTGGCCTCCTGCTGGGACTCTGAGGAGCACAGGGACTGGACTCCTGCTGGGACTCTGAGGAGCACAGGGACTGGACTCCTGCTGGGACTCTGAGGAGCACAGGGACTGGCCTCCTGCTGGGACTCTGAGGAGCACAGGGACTGGACTCCTGCTGGGACTCTGAGGAGCATAGGGACTGGCCTCCTGCTGGGACTCTGAGGAGCACAGGGACTGGCCTCCTGCTGGGACTCTGAGGAGCACAGGGACTGGCCTCCTGCTGGGACTCTGAGGAGCACAGGGACTGGCCTCCTGCTGGGACTCTGAGGAGCACAGGGACTGGCCTCCTGCTGGGACTCTGAGGAGCATAGGGACTGGACTCCTGCTGGGACTCTGAGGAGCACAGGGACTGGCCTCCTGCTGGGACTCTGAGGAGCACAGGGACTGGACTCCTGCTGGGACTCTGAGGAGCACAGGGACTGGCCTCCTGCTGGGACTCTGAGGAGCACAGGGACTGGCCTCCTGCTGGGACTCTGAGGAGCACAGGGACTGGCCTCCTGCTGGGACTCTGAGGAGCATAGGGACTGGCCTCCTGCTGGGACTCTGGAGCACAGGGACTTTCAGATGTATCTGTCGTTTGTGAATCTAAACAAACTGCTTCTTTCCCGTAACAGTCATAACTGGTTTTATAAAGTTCTTTTCAGACTTCATTCTCTCCAAACACGGTGCTGATAAACTATTACAGTAGCCACGCCTGCCCTGGGGCACATTGACAGACACCAGACTCATTCTAATGTGGGGGAAGTGTCTTGCCTAAGGACACAACCACAGTTTAGCACTTGACAGCCGCGCCACTGTGGCACCTGCTGTTCCCAGAGGTCTCCCATCACGGCACTAACCAGGCCCTGCCCTGCTTAGACCACTTATAGCACAGAGCTGTACTGGAGGCTGCCGATCAGACGCTTTCACACATGTATCAAGTTATGGTTTTATAAATGTTCGGGTTAGGGTTATGTTTCAGAGTCAGATTGTCATTATCACTGCTCTGAAGATCCACAAACAGCAATGGTTCCGTCTGGATTCAAGATTTAATCACAATCCACAAACTGCTGCAGACTCAGAGCACAAACCAAACAGTTTTTCATTACGGTTTTACCTTTTGAGAAATGAAGTTTGTATCTGACCGTTTTTCTTCATCGAGGATGTTGAAAAGAAGTGTATTTCCACTGCTCCTTCCTCTTTTGTCTCGCTCTAGTTTCCTACACTTGCCTTAGTCCAAGTGTGATTTATTGGCTGAATTCTGCCACTTTGGAATCCATACAGCGTTCATGTGACATCACCACAGCAGCTGACCTCCTGGTGATGTCACTACAGGAGGTCAGAGGTCGCCTGTTTCTGTGGGATGTGAATGAGACCAGGCTAGTTCTGTGCAATATTACAGCTTGTTCTTGTGCTGGTGTTGTTGTAATGTTTTTATTATGTCCTGTACAGTGTCCTTTGGTGTTTTGAAAGGCACTTTTAAATAAATTGTATTATTATTGTGCAGACGAGCCGAGTACAGACGTTGAGATCGTCTGGTCTTATCCATCCTTTCTCTCCTGTCAATCATCATGTCCTGCCTGTAACGTCAGGGTCTGGTCCCTGTGTCTGTGATTACAATCGGTTGAATTCAATCCGACCAATCAGAGAGCGCGGGAGGCGGGTGTTGTAGTTAGCAGTGGGTGACGTCAAGAGTTTGCGTCGAACGGGAAGGTTGTAGTTTGGTGAAGAATGTGATAGTAAAGTATTCTGCTCTGGTTCTATCAAGAAACTGAAGCCGGAGCAAGAGGAATGTTTAGCAAAAGTAATCGCTCTAATTGCTCCTTAGCTAGGCTAAATGCTAAAGCAAGGATAAATGCTAAAGCTAGGCTAAATGCTAACGACTCACTCAGGCTCATTACATACGTCACGGTAAACTCAGATCCAATGGTTTCAATCTGCAAAAGGAGTTAGCCCCTCCCACCTGTTAACGGAGTCAATGGAGCAAATCCAGACCTTAGTACAGAATGAAATGTGTACAATGGGGTGGTAAGGCCAGGCTAATGTTTGTGTGTGTGTGTGTGTGTGTGAATTTCCTTCAGGGACAATACACTTGAACATTAACATTAGCTGAAAAGGGGATCGGTAAAAACACACCTTCTCCTAAGTCTCAAACGTAGAAATACTAATATAAAACTCCATCTAAATCCAAGTGGGACTCCGCTCACCGTGAGGAACATAACGAGCCCGAGTCAAAGCTCACCAGAGTCACTTGAAATATCATGAATCTTAATTATAGTCGAGAGTTGGTTCTCGTCGCTTGACCTTGGTTTAAATGAAAATTACCCCAAATTGTATCGTGCTTTGTGTGACCTTGGTCTGTGGCAAAAAAGAAACCCAGACACCAGAGAGAGACCAGAGAGAGACCAGAGAGAGATCAGAGAGAGACCAGAGAGAGACCAGAGAGAGATCAGAGAGAGATCAGAGAGAGACCAGAGAGAGACCAGAGAGAGACCAGAGAGAGACCAGAGAGAGACCAGAGAGAGACCAGAGAGAGACCAGAGAGAGAGACCAGAGAGAGACCAGAGAGAGATCAGAGAGAGATCAGAGAGAGACCAGAGAGAGACCAGAGAGAGATCAGAGAGAGACCAGAGAGAGACCAGAGAGAGACCAGAGAGAGACCAGAGAGAGACCAGAGAGAGACCAGAGAGAGATCAGAGAGAGACCAGAGAGAGACCAGAGAGAGATCAGAGAGAGACCAGAGAGAGACCAGAGAGAGATCAGAGAGAGACCAGAGAGAGACCAGAGAGAGATCAGAGAGAGACCAGAGAGAGACCAGAGAGAGATCAGAGAGAGACCAGAGAGAGACCAGAGAGAGACCAGAGAGAGACCAGAGAGAGAGACCAGAAAGAGACCAGAGAGAGACCAGAAAGAGACCAGAGAGAGACCTGAGAGAGCGACCAGAGAGAGACCAGAGAGAGACCTGATAGAGAGACCAGAGAGAGACCCGAGAGAGACCTGAGAGAGAGACCAGAGAGAGACCAGAGAGAGAGACCAGAGAGAGACCAGAGCGGGAGACCAGAGAGAGACCAGAGAGAGAGACCAGAGAGCGACCAGAGAAAGACCAGAGAGCGACCAGAGAGAGACCAGAGAGAGACCTGAGAGAGAGACCAGAGAGAGAGACCAGAGAGAGACCAGAGAGCGACCAGAGAGAGACCTGAGAGAGACCAGAGAGAGACCAGAGAGAGACCAGAGAGAGACCAGAGAGAGACCAGAGAGAGATCAGAGAGAGACCAGAGAGAGACCAGAGAGAGATCAGAGAGAGACCAGAGAGAGACCAGAGAGAGATCAGAGAGAGACCAGAGAGAGACCAGAGAGAGATCAGAGAGAGACCAGAGAGAGACCAGAGAGAGACCAGAGAGAGACCAGAGAGAGACCAGAGAGAGACCAGAGAGAGATCAGAGAGAGACCAGAGAGAGACCAGAGAGAGACCAGAGAGAGACCAGAGAGAGACCAGAGAGAGACCAGAGAGAGATCAGAGAGAGACCAGAGAGAGACCAGAGAGAGATCAGAGAGAGACCAGAGAGAGACCAGAGAGAGACCAGAGAGAGACCAGAGAGAGAGACCAGAAAGAGACCAGAAAGAGACCAGAGAGAGACCTGAGAGAGCGACCAGAGAGAGACCAGAGAGAGACCAGATAGAGAGACCAGAGAGAGACCCGAGAGAGACCTGAGAGAGAGACCAGAGAGAGACCAGAGAGAGAGACCAGAGAGAGACCAGAGCGGGAGACCAGAGAGAGACCAGAGAGAGAGACCAGAGAGCGACCAGAGAAAGACCAGAGAGCGACCAGAGAGAGACCAGAGAGAGACCTGAGAGAGAGACCAGAGAGAGAGACCAGAGAGAGACCAGAGAGCGACCAGAGAGAGACCTGAGAGAGAGACCAGAGAGAGACCAGAGAGAGACCAGAGAGAGACCAGAGCGGGAGACCAGAGAGCGACCAGAGAGCGACCAGAGGGAGACCAGAGAGAGACCAGAGAGAGAGACCAGAGAGAGACCAGAGAGAGACCAGTGAGACCAGTGTCTGGCAATAGCATTAGGCTCTTCAGTCCTAGTGCATTAGTGACTTAAAGTGACTTGTTGTACAGTCTGACAGTGGAGCTCCTCCTCAGTGCTGTGCAGTGGGAGGTGTATGTTGTCCATGAAGGAGGTGACTCTGACTAGCACCTCCTGTCCCTCACCTCCTCCAGAGAGTGGTCCTGGATCTTCTTCAGCTCAGGTCTCAGTCCCTCAGACAGAGTGGTCCTGGTCCTGGATCTTCTTCAGCTCAGGTCTCAGTCCCTCAGACAGACTGGTCCTGGTCCTGGATCTTCTTCAGCTCAGGTCTCAGTCCCTCAGACAGACTGGTCCTGGATCTTCTTCAGCTCAGGTCTCAGTCCCTCAGACAGAGTGGTCCCGGCTCCTGCTGTAATCCCATTTGTCAAACAGAGCACAGTGGGGCGGGCCCCGGGGCCACAGCTGTACGCCGCTGATTTTGGCACAAAGGCACAAATCTCCCGGTGCAGCAGCGTTTCGTCGACGGCCCGCGGCGTCAGAGACTGTTCCTGATTAAACTGCCTCATAAATAAGACACATGTAACGTGACAACTCTACTGAGGCAGCGACCGAGGCCGAGCGCACCACCGACTGCACAAGAACAAGTGTGTAAAACATTTAACATCATGTTCGACACGATGTGAGAACCATGGTTTTTATTTTCACAAATAATTCACAAACCAAACCAAAGTTCAAATTGGCAAACGACCCCTAAATGTTTTCTTTTTGGTAAATATAATGTCTGACAGACGGCGACACCCGCAGGTGAAAGCCCGATCCAGTCAGAACTCTGAGGCAGAGCAGGGCCTGAGGGAGGAGGAGGGAGGAGGAGGTCTGAGGGAGGAGGAGGTCTGAGGGAGGAGGAGGTCTGAGGGAGGAGGAGGACTGAGGGAGGAGGAGGTCTGAGGGAGGAGGAGGTCTGAGGGAGGAGGAGGACTGAGGGAGGAGGAGGTCTGAGGGAGGAGGAGGTCTGAGGGAGTGAGGAGCTCAGAGGGAGGAGGAGGTCTGAGGGAGGAGGAGGACTGAGGGAGGAGGAGGTCTGAGGGAGGAGGAGGTCTGAGGGAGGAGGAGGTCTGAGGGAGGAGGAGGACTGAGGGAGGAGGAGGTCTGAGGGAGGAGGAGGTCTGAGGGAGTGAGGAGCTCAGAGGGAGGAGGAGGTCTGAGGGAGGAGGAGGACTGAGGGAGGAGGAGGTCTGAGGGAGGAGGAGGTCTGAGGGAGGAGGAGGTCTGAGGGAGGAGGAGGTCTGAGGGAGTGAGGAGCTCAGAGGGAGGAGGAGGTCTGAGGGAGGAGGAGGACTGAGGGAGGAGGAGGTCTGAGGGAGGAGGAGGTCTGAGGGAGGAGGAGGACTGAGGGAGGAGGAGGTCTGAGGGAGGAGGAGGTCTGAGGGAGTGAGGAGCTCAGAGGGAGGAGGAGGTCTGAGGGAGGAGGAGGTCTGAGGGAGGAGGAGGTCTGAGGGAGGAGGAGGTCTGAGGGAATGAGGAGGTCTGAGGGAGTGAGGAGCTCAGAGGGAGGAGGAGGTCTGAGGGAGGAGGAGGACTGAGGGAGGAGGAGGTCTGAGGGAGGAGGAGGTCTGAGGGAGGAGGAGGTCTGAGGGAGGAGGTCTGAGGGAGGAGGAGGTCTGAGGGAGGAGGTCTGAGGGAGGAGGAGGTCTGAGGGAGGAGGAGGTCTGAGGGAGTGAGGAGCTCAGAGGGAGGAGGAGGTCTGAGGGAGGAGGAGGACTGAGGGAGTGAGGAGGTCTGAGGGAGGAGGAGGTCTGAGGGAGGAGGAGGTCTGAGGGAATGAGGAGGTCTGAGGGAGGAGGAGGTCTGAGGGAGGAGGAGGTCTGAGGGAGTGAGGAGGTCTGAGGGAGGAGGAGGTCTGAGGGAGGAGGAGGTCTGAGGGAGGAGGAGGTCTGAGGGAGGAGGAGGTCTGAGGGAGGAGGAGGTCTGAGGGAGGAGGAGGTCTGAGGGAGTGAGGAGCTCAGAGGGAGGAGGAGGTCTGAGGGAGGAGGAGGACTGAGGGAGGAGGAGGTCTGAGGGAGGAGGAGGTCTGAGGGAGGAGGAGGTCTGAGGGAGGAGGAGGTCTGAGGGAGGAGGAGGTCTGAGGGAGGAGGAGGTCTGAGGGAGTGAGGAGCTCAGAGGGAGGAGGAGGTCTGAGGGAGGAGGAGGACTGAGGGAGGAGGAGGACTGAGGGAGTGAGGAGGCTGAGGGAGGAGGAGGTCTGAGGGAGGAGGAGGTCTGAGGGAATGAGGAGGTCTGAGGGAGGAGGAGGTCTGAGGGAGGAGGAGGTCTGAGGGAGTGAGGAGGTCTGAGGGAGGAGGAGGTCTGAGGGAGGAGGAGGTCTGAGGGAGGAGGTCTGAGGGAGGAGGAGGTCTGAGGGAGGAGGAGGTCTGAGGGAGGAGTAGGTCTCAGGGAGGAGGTCTTAGGGAGGATTCAGGCTGTGGATCCAGGACTCAGACTGTAGAACGAGGATTCAGGCTGTGGATCCAGGACTCAGACTGTAGAACGAGGATTCAGGCTGTGGATCCAGGACTCAGACTGTAGAACGAGGATTCAGGCTGTGGATCCAGGACTCAGACTGTAGAACGAGGATTCAGGCTGTGGATCCAGGACTCAGACTGTAGAACGAGGATTCAGGCTGTGGATCCAGGACTCAGACTGTAGAACGAGGATTCAGGCTGTGGATCCAGGACTCAGACTGTAGAACGAGGATTCAGGCTGTGGATCCAGGACTCAGACTGTAGAACGAGGATTCAGGCTGTGGATCCAGGACTCAGACTGTAGAACGAGGATTCAGGCTGTGGATCCAGGACTCAGACTGTAGAACGAGGATTCAGGCTGTGGATCCAGGACTCAGACTGTAGAACGAGGATTCAGGCTGTGGATCCAGGACTCAGACTGTAGAACGAGGATTCAGGCTGTGGATCCAGGACTCAGACTGTAGAACGAGGATTCAGGCTGTGGATCCAGGACTCAGGCTGATGCAGGCTCCCTAAAACAGGCCTATAACCAAAGGCCATCATCAGTTCATTCAGATTCATTACAGAATCAGACTCTCTCAGAGACGCTGAAAAGGCCTCGTCAGCTGTTTATGCACCTCGCTGGAGATTCATCCATTTCCACTCAAAATCCGGGAAACTTCCGAGCAGCAGTCTCCGGTGTTTTGGCCGGACTTTAATCAATCTGTGCCACAGTCTATTCTCTGGGAGTGTCGTGTGCTCTGCCTTTTAAACGTGCAGAGGAAGAGACGAAGAGAACGGAATGCACTCAGAGACACTTCACATGTCGTTATTTATCTACTCCAAACTACTACTGTGGCCACAGCTGCCCTGGGGCACACCGGCAGAAGCGAGGCAGCCAGTCTGTACCCCTCAGCCCGATCGTCTATGGGCAGGTTCAAAATGGGCGCTGGGAAAATGTGAAAAAACGCATTTATGCATTTGTTAGCTGCATTCATTTAACGAGTGCATTCTAAAGTCCACAGCGGCTAGACTAGACTGGTCCAAAAACATACACTCCCCTCAGACAGCATCTGGAACCAAGAGCCACTTTTGGACCAAGAACCACTTTTGGACCAAGAACCACTTTTGGACCAAGAGCCACTTTTGGACCAAGAGCCACTTTTGGACCAAGAACCACTTTTGGACCAAGAGCCACTTTTGGACCAAGAACCACTTTTGGACCAAGAACCACTTTTGGACCAAGAACCACTTTTAGACCAAGAACCACTTTTAGACCAAGAACCACTTTTAGACCAAGAACCACTTTAGGACCAAGAACCACTTTTGGACCAAGAACCACTTTTGGACCAAGAGCCACTTTTGGACCAAGAGCCACTTTTGGACCAAGAGCCACTTTTGGACCAAGAACCACTTTTGGACCAAGAACCACTTTTGGACCAAGAACCACTTTTGGACCAAGAACCACTTTTGGACCAAGAACCACTTTTAGACCAAGAACCACTTTTAGACCAAGAACCACTTTTAGACCAAGAACCACTTTAGGACCAAGAGCCACTTTTGGACCAAGAGCCACTTTTGGACCAAGAACCACTTTTGGACCAAGAGCCACTTTTGGACCAAGAACCACTTTTGGACCAAGAACCACTTTTGGACCAAGAACCACTTTTAGACCAAGAACCACTTTTAGACCAAGAACCACTTTTAGACCAAGAACCACTTTAGGACCAAGAACCACTTTTGGACCAAGAACCACTTTTGGACCAAGAGCCACTTTTGGACCAAGAGCCACTTTTGGACCAAGAGCCACTTTTGGACCAAGAACCACTTTTGGACCAAGAACCACTTTTGGACCAAGAACCACTTTTGGACCAAGAACCACTTTTGGACCAAGAACCACTTTTAGACCAAGAACCACTTTTAGACCAAGAACCACTTTTAGACCAAGAACCACTTTAGGACCAAGAGCCACTTTTGGACCAAGAGCCACTTTTGGACCAAGAGCCACTTTTGGACCAAGAGCCACTTTTGGACCAAGAGCCACTTTTGGACCAAGAACCACTTTTGGACCAAGAACCACTTTTGGACCAAGAACCACTTTTGGACCAAGAACCACTTTTGGACCAAGAACCACTTTAGGACCAAGAACCACTTTTGGACCAAGAGCCACTTTTGGACCAAGAACCACTTTTGGACCAAGAACCACTTTAGGACCATCCTGTAAAGACGTTTTTGAGAGATAAGAAGATGCTATAAATTCCCCTACTGGCCCGGGGTGGTATTGCAGCATGTCAGCGCACGTCATTTTGGACATTTTTGAGTCGAGACCCGCCGCGGCTGATCTTGACCTGAGGATTTGAAGCCTTAGTTGGACAAAAACCTGCAGCCACACGGCCCTTTGAGAACCGTGTTGAATCCCCCGGGGTTAGACGACTCCTGACTGCCCTCTTGCTCCAGGACGAAACACCCAGATTTTCCGGTCCCGTCTTTGTGGCCCCTGGGATGGGAGCCGCTGTACATCTATACATCAGACTGAGACTGGACCCTCCTAAACAACATCACTCACATGGGTAAGTGAGGTTCCTAATGAAAAACAATCCAATCGTTGTTTATAGACTTTGCTGCTCATTTCTTCCTGTCGTTCGCCGTTTCCCACAGTTTATCGACGTACATTTAAACAGAGTGGCTTTCCAGACACGCCGCCCCGAGAATGTCACAGTTCTGGCTCCGTTCACCAAACTTGGACAGCTTCCCGGGAAAAATAAAATAGCAATCAAAGTCTGACTGTCATCAACAATTAACGTATTGATTGCCAAGACTCGCTGCGATTTATGCAAACCGGTCCCCATTCGTCAGTCCCCGTGCCCCAGGCCTGGGTAAGGGACGTACACGGCCCTTGTCTGTGTTGTTAATCAAACACACCTCTCCCTCCACAGCCGGGAACATTCGTCAATCCCAGTGCAATGCAGCACTTTGGATCTGTCCCGCTCTGTTTTGTCACTGATGCGTCTGCACGATTCACAAAGCATCCATGTTTCTCGGCGTCTCAACCCCACAGACGATAAGGATCTCCTGAGACGGAAGGTTGATGCCGTAAACGTTTAGTAATATTAAAAAAAACAGGGCTGACTGCTATTTTAATGTATTTTCCAGAAGCATGGTGAGCAGAGGGATACATTAACCTCTGCCTCTATAGGCTCCATACATTTAGCCTGTAACCATGGTGATGCATTGCTACGAACAGTTTGGCAACAAAGTCAAAATGTTAAAGATGCTGTACCCCATTTATTTTCTAATGAGTTCATAAAAATGCTGATCTCTACACACAAGTTGTATTGAAGTTGATGAATTCAGGCTCCAAACAGAGCCACAGCTGCCCTGGGGCACACTGACAGAAGCCCCTCCCACCACTACCAACCACAACACTCATTCTAATGTGGGGGAAGTGTCTTGCCTAAGGACACAACCACAGTTCGCAGCCGCCCCACTGTGGCACCTGCTGTTCCCAGAGGTCTCCCATCACAGCACTAACCAGGCCCTGCCCTGCTTATGTGTTTTGTTTGGACGTATGTATTTCTCCTACAGGATCAACACAGTGTCTATACATTAGTTTCATGTTGTTCTTAAACAGCTCCGAGCTCAAGGTCAGAAAACACTGTTTAAATCTATTTATGTTGAACCACAAACTCACTGCTGCAGCGAAAGACAACTCCATTTATTATATATATTTATACTTATAGACTATTTATTTATATTTATATTTACATGAATATTTATATATGACAGATATACATTACAGTATGTTACAGTATATAAATATCAGCCATAATCATCAAAGTAACTGTATCTATCATTCTATTTGGGGCGACAGTGGCTCAGTTTAGCCTGAAGGTCGTGGGTTCGAGGCCACCCAGAGACTTTCTGATTCCCACTGTCTGCTGCCGTTATGTCCTTGGGCAAGACACTTAACCTCTGGGAGCAAGGGCCACAGTGAGGCGTCTGTAAAGTTCCAGACTGTGGTTGTGTCCTTAGGCAAGACACTTCCCCCACATTAGAATGAGTCTGGTGTGTGTGGCACAGGAGTTTGTAGTGAATGAATAATGACATGTGAAGAGCGCTAAATAAAACCAATGCATTATTATTTTTTAGGCTACACCACCTCTGCTGCTGTGACCAGTCCTGCTCCACCCGTCGGCTACACCACCTCTGCTGTGACCAGTCCTGCTCCACCCGTCGGCTACACCACCTCTGCTGCTGTGACCAGTCCTGCTCCACCCGTCGGCTACACCACCTCTGCTGCTGTGACCAGTCCTGCTCCACCCTCGGCTACACCACCTCTGCTGCTGTGACCAGTCCTGCTCCACCCGTCGGCTACACCACCTCTGCTGTGACCAGTCCTGCTCCACCCGTCGGCTACACCACCTGTGCTGCTGTGACCAGTCCTGCTCCACCCGTCGGCTACACCACCTGTGCTGCTGTGACCAGTCCTGCTCCACCCGTCGGCTACACCACCTCTGCTGCTGTGACCAGTCCTGCTCCACCCGTCGGCTACACCACCTCTGCTGCTGTGACTAGTCCTGCTCCACCCGTCGGCTACACCACCTCTGCTGCTGTGACCAGTCCTGCTCCACCCGTCGGCTACACCACCTCTGCTGCTGTGACTAGTCCTGCTCCACCCGTCGGCTACACCACCCCTGCTGCTGTGACCAGTCCTGCTCCACCCGTCGGCTACATCACCTCTGCTGCTGTGACTAGTCCTGCTCCACCCGTCGGCTACATCACCTCTGCTGCTGTGACCTGTCCTGCTCCACCCGTCGGCTACACCACCCCTGCTGCTGCGTCCTTCTTCACAGGGAGGAAGTCTGCTGGGCCTGATGGGAGTGGAGTTAGCTGAGCCTCTCCGTACCATCGTTAACAAGAGTCTTCAGACTGCACTATAAAAAAGATAAAGTTAGTTCAACTCAAAGTTTCAAAGCAACCAGCTGCGAAGGATTTTTGAGTTGAAGGCATTCACTTAATTCTTCACGTTTTGAAGAACTACACTTATTAAGGTGTGTCAGCTAAGTTTTCCAAGTTCTGCCAACTAAGTTTTTAAATTCAAGTTACTGGAAATTTCAAGTCTGTAAAAATTGACTTTTTTATGTTCAGAATACTGTCCCCTACAATAACTTACTATTTTGAGTTTAAATTAGCCCCACATTAAACCATCATGATGTTTGTTTATGTCCTCCTGAGAACCGAAGAAAAGAAGTGTCTTGCAATTTCTGTTTTTGTGTGATTTCCCATCTATTTGGCCTTAAAAAAGCAACTTACCATTTTTGTTTTTTTAAATAATTTTTTTATTTAAATTTCACAGCATGTCCACTGTAGAGGAAAACAGGACAATATTCGTGTAAAAACACAGCATTTCTAAATGCTGTGTTTTATTAGAAAATTACATCTTTACTGTGACATTCACCCAAGAACACAGAACAATTTGAACAATAACACACAAAAAATCAGTAACACTGTTACAATGTAATGTAAAACATGTATTTTGTCTCAACATTGAACTATGCTGCATTAGTCGACTGTCAATGCAGGTCAACGGTGACACGTGTCTGAGCGTGTCTCAGGACGCACACAGAGGCGCGGCAGAGGCGGAGAGCGGAAAATTGACGCACGCAGGAGATAAATATTGCTGAACCTTTCCCTCGGGACGCTCGTGCAGCGACCAATCAGAGAGCCGCAAAGTGGTCACGGGGACATTAGCGGCTGAACATACTGTAAACAGAAGCTACACCAGGACCAAACCAGGACTAAACCAGGACTAAACCAGGACTAAACCAGGACTAAACCAGGACTAAACCAGGGTTGACAATGGGGGACTATGTGCTTGTGAACATTTGCGTGTTCATGCTCCCGTGACTTTATGCAACTGCTTCGAGCATGTTCGCCGATGCGGAAATACCGTTTAATAATAAAAACGAACGTATGGCGCACCTCCGTGAACACAAACTGCTGATATATAAAACCTCTGGAAGGTCTCTGGACCCTGACCCTGGCATTATTGGAGAAGAACTTTACGTAAAAAGCCGCAGCTTAACTCCGTTAGCATCAAAGTTCGCCTGCTACTTCTGCCACTTCCGGCGGTCACCACCGCAGCAGGACTTCTGGGGTTAAAATTAGAGAATGTGCGTCTGGTGCGTTCCAGCGATGACGGTGTGAAAGCACCATAAGAGATAGAACAAAACTACTTCAGGTTTTCTTATTTTAGCTGTGATAATCCTGGAAGCATGTTTTACTTTTGGTTATGCAGAGGGACATCTACTCTGTTACTTTGGACTTTAGCTTTATTTTGACATCTGTTCTCTGTGGTTTGGTTTTAGTTTGACCTACTTTGTCCTGTTTGCCCCTGTCTTGATTGTCTTTCCCGCCCTGATGTGTTTCACCTGTGTCTGTGTCTGTGTCTATATTACCCTGTGTCTGCCCCGCCCTGATGTGTTTCACCTGTGTCTGTGTCTATATTACCCTGTGTCTGCCCCGCCCTGATGTGTTTCACCTGTGTCTGTGTCTATATTACCCTGTGTCTGCCCTGCCCTGATGTGTTTCACCTGTGTCTGTGTCTATATTACCCTGTGTCTGCCCCGCCCTGATGTGTTTCACCTGTGTCTGTGTCTATATTACCCTGTGTCTGCCCCGCCCTGATGTGTTTCACCTGTGTCTGTGTCTATATTACCCTGTGTCTGCCCCGCCCTGATGTGTTTCACCTGTGTCTGTGTCTATATTACCCTGTGCTCCTCTCCTCCTGTTGCTGGTCCATTGTATTGTCTACTTCTGTTCCGTCCTGTTCCTGATTTTGTTTTTACCTTGGACTTTATTTTATTAAATCATTATTTTGGCATTCTCGCATTTTGAGTCCTCCTCCTTCCCACCTCGAGCCTGTATGTGTGAATGTGTGTATGTCATCTACAGTATCTATCGTCTCAATAACACATTGACCAGAGAGAGACCAGAGAGAGACCAGAGAGGGACCAGAGAGAGACCAGAGAGGGACCAGAGAGAGACCAGAGAGAGACCAGAGAGGGACCAGAGAGAGACCAGAGAGGGACCAGAGAGAGACCAGAGAGAGACCAGAGAGGGACCCGAGAGACCAGAGAGAGACCAGAGAGAGACCAGAGAGGGACCAGAGAGAGACCAGAGAGGGACCAGAGAGGGACCCGAGAGACCAGAGAGAGACCAGAGAGAGACCAGAGAGAGACCAGAGAGAGACCAGAGAGAGAGAGACCAGAGAGAGAGACCAGAGAGAGAGAGACTAGAGAGAGAAAGACCAGAGAGAGACCAGAGAGAGAGAGACTAGAGAGAGACCAGAGAGAGACCAGAGAGGGACCCGAGAGACCAGAGAGAGACCAGAGAGAGACCAGAGAGAGACCAGAGAGAGACCAGAGAGAGACCAGAGAGAGACCAGAGAGAGACCAGAGAGAGAGAGACCAGAGAGAGAGAGACTAGAGAGAGAAAGACCAGAGAGAGACCAGAGAGGG